CCCCCCCCCCCCCCCAAACAAAAAAGAAAAAAAGAAAAAAAAACAAAAGAAAGAACTCACAAAAATATTTTCCCTCTTATTAACATTGCTTCATCATGCTTCTAGCAATCAGGGACTAAGCTCATGTTGAACATGGGACTTGCACCTGAATCTCTTCAAAACAATGTTAATGCATTGACTGGAACATCTAGCGGAAATCTGCAATCTTCTAGTGATGTGGATTTGGCATCTAAAAATAGAGGAAATAGCTTTCAACTTTCAAGAGAAAATGAACGTGATTATGTACGTAATACATCTACAGTGAAAGGAACAACTGATAGACCACTTGAAAGTCGTACGGAAAAGGTTGTTGACAGCTTCTTGCAGAATCCAGTTTTCAAACATGAAGAGAAAAAAGAACTTAATGCATTGGTATGTACACAAAAGCCACATCTTGAGTCAAATTATGATGTTACTTTCTAATCAGACTGTAGGTCTTCACCCAATTTTTTTCTGAATTATATGCCGTCAATTAGGTAAAGGAAAATTTTCAGGGGAAAGCCTAATTTTTAGTACTATGCATCATATATCCTTCACCACCATTCTGAATTAACGATTAAACATGAGCAGATTATTCTAGAAGATTAGAAATCATTCATTTCCTTCGTTTTAGGTTGTTTTGAATAATATAAACATTAAGGTGTGTTCAGTGTTGCATTTGCTTATAGACAAGTTTTAGGAGCTCATCAGAATGTAGATTTATAAAATTACTTTATATATACGTAAGATATTTGATATGTTTGAAGTTTGATGCAATTATTAAGAGAACAATAATTTAGTAGATTTGTTTGAAAGAATTGGATGACAGATTTTTTGAACATTGAGATAAAGAAGTGAAGAAATTGAGACGTGAGAAGCCAAAAGGATCTGGCTTCTACGGGCTGCAACTCGCATGCTTCTAGTTATTAATTACCGAACATCAAGTTTTGCTAAACAGGATAAACCACTTATTTTCTTTATAAGGAGCTGAAAAAGTCATGATAAGAAGCTCAATTGCACCATTTAATTTGGAAGCAACTAGTGCTTTAAATTTGAAATATTTTGCTTGGCAAGACCATTGAGACTTGAGGGCATATTGCAGGTGATGCGATATAGTGAAGCACCTATGTGTTTTTTTTTCTCATTTTATTTAATTTCCTTTTCTGATTATATCTTGCAGTAACTGACATTTGCAGCTATGTTCTTAATGTTGGATAAAAAAAATGTTTTGTTTCTTATTTAATAAGCTACTGCAAACAATGCCATTCAACTTGCATTGTCCATCTAGTTTAGATGGAAAAAAAAGAAAAAAAAATCTGATTGCTTTAGTTATTTCCATTATGCAAGTTGTCTTCATAATAACTTATACCACACTTATAATTAGAAGTTGTTCCTATGTAATTTTCTATACATAGCGCACTACGTGCATCTCCTGTGAGGCTGTAAGAGACATTTTGTACATTTATTCCCTGAAATCTTACATCAGTTTTCTGTTTAACTTGCCATCTTATTATCTCTGCAAAATATAGAAATCCTCCACCTATTGTATCGATTCCTATTTTGAGCTCTTATTCTTTCAGTCAGCACTTACTGGTTTAAATCAGTGTTTGAAAAAAAGGTTTTTGAAACTCAGCTTCAAAACTCCCTTCGAGACCTTTTTGATAGATAATCGCTTTGAAACTCAAAAGTGAAGCTCTTTATCCCTATAAGCTTATGCTTCATTTAAAGCATAATTGAAGTGTGTGCTTCGTGCTTCATGAAGAGCTTCTCTTTTGAATCACACACTTTAGACATGTTATGAGGGTATACAAGTTTTTTTTTCTTTTTTTTTGTTTCTTTATGTATTAGGATGGATTTTTATTCATATGTTAAATATCTTAAATTAGATTTTTTTTCTTGAGAGTCTTGCCCATTTTCTTTATTGTTTTGAAATTTGAATCAATGTAGCAGGTGAGTTTGGGGTTTTAGTTAGGAAAATTAAATTTAGATCATTTGTCTTTAATATGACCATGTGATTATACTGAAGATATATATCTTAGATATGTAGCCTAGTTTATTATGAATTTTGCTTATACGTGGCATATTTAGTTGTTTCTAGTCTGCAAATTATTATACCACCATATATTATATGCATATAGTACTTATAAATTTTAAAAATAAATATACTTAACTCCAATGTTTTAAATATCGGCCGATAAACCGATATTATTGGCGATTTATCGGTTTTGGGGGCCTTCCGCTATGATAAGTTCGATTCTAGAGCGGTTATCGTTTTTGGATGTTTATCGCCGATAATGCGGCAACAAAGTGAGTTATCGGCCGATATTGTCGGCCCAAATATCAGAATTATCGGCCTTTGGTTTGAGTTTCGATTTCGGATAACGAGCACCTATTCAATGCACTTTAAACCCGATCCACCCTGAGTTTCTACCATTGGTTAGGGATCCTAAACATAATTATTTACATTTTGGTATGTTTATATTTTATTAAGTATCGTTAGATTATATTTTAGAATATTATATTATGTATATCACCATTCGGTAATGTCACTCTGATAAATACTACTTATCCCTGATATCCGCTATTCGATATGGATTTTGATCGTCCGATAAAGCCTCGATAACCGATATTAAAACCTTGCTTAACTCATGAGGCTTATGCCTCACACTTTGAAGCTTATGCCTTGGTTCCTAAAAGGCTCCGACGCTTTGCCTTGTGCATTTGCTTTTCAAAACATTGGTTTAAATATTGAACAAGGCAGATAACTTCTGGGAATTGCACAGACATTAAACATATGCATACAGCCACCGTGTTCAAACATGCCCAGCCATAAAACAGGGGATGAAATTTACTGTGCTGCTTAGCTATTGAATCTGAGTGATACAGCCATGTTATTTCTTTTGATTTCATTAGTTTCCATGTGAAGAATGGAGTGACCGATTGATTGATAGTCTAAATTTCTAGGAGCGTATTATGCTTTAAACCTTTTGATCTGCCTTTACTGCTTTCACTCATATTCTTATATTTAAGGGGAAATGGGTTTGGTATGCCGCTATTTTTCAATTTAATTCGTTTATGCCTTATGGAACTTTTTTCTTAGTTTAACTTTACTTTGTATTTACTGCTCATCAAGTACTGCTTAAATGCAGATTTTCTTTTTTAAGCTGGAACAGTCGAGCTCTGACATTCTTTCTCTAGTTGTTTGATTTATTAATTTCATTTTGCTATTATTGATCTCGTGGAACTGTTTATGCTACCGCGGTACATGCTATCAGGAAATTATAATTGCTTGTATGATGCTATTCTATCTGACATATCAGTGTGCTGATTTGGTGCTTCTGACACATTTGTATGCAGGCTGAAAGTTTGCAGGCAGAGAATAATGTGCTTCAAGTGGTAAGCTAACAAGAATTATTCCATACTTATTGTCAATCATAAAATCTTGCATTTTCTCACTTAGATAACAATGACTTGTACATGGTTGCCTACTCCTTGTTCGCACTGCTGCCGGGGGGGTGAAGGATTGACCCATCATGAGAGATCTTAGTGGCCACTATTCTCTTTGGAAGTTTGGCATCAACTGAATTATTTTTGTGGAATTTTTTTTTGTTATAATTGTATTTCATGCAATTCTCACCATTTGAAGGACTTGGCTTATTATCTAAAATTTGTTATTATTTGCTATTCCTTTTAAGTTTTCTTCCTAACCCTCTCTGTATTTTCTCCGGAATACCTGATTTCACAGGAAATTAAGGTTATCATAGAATATTGAAAGTGGCTTAGCAGTTAAGAGTCCAAAGCCAACAACCACAGAGAGATTATCCTTTCCTATTTTATATAATAATGAAAGTTTCTTTTGATCCTTCGATTGAGAAGGCTTATTATGTTACTTCCAATGCATATTAACTTTTTTTTGGGTTTTCCTTGAAGTTGTTTTTTTCCTTGTTTGCGTATGTATCAGCTCATGTACATTTTTTTTAAAAATATAGCTATTAAAGCAACAGCAAACAATTCAAGGATTGATGGAGGAGAACCAGAAGTTGCAGAGGATTCTTGTGGAGGACCTAAAAGTTCCTCCTAGTAAGCTCCACATGAGCAGTGAGAGTTTTGTCAAGTCTAATTTTGCATGTTCCAACTGTTTTGAATGCCGTAGAAGAATGAGGAAAACAGGAAGATAGCATTAACTTCTCCAGAGTCTTTTGTTTATCTGACCTTCGGTTGCTTTGATCTTGATGTGGAGGTTAGATTATTATAGAGGGGCCAAGAAATCATTGCGGATAGTTGATGGATGTTCTTCACAGAGGTAAAAAGTTCTCGTTCTTTATAATTTTAATTTATTTTTTTATTTAGCAGCTTTCTCCGAGAGAAACTTGACAAGTTAGCAAATATCTTGGAGTGAAGTTTTTCCATACAATTGAGGGAAGATGGCCGTGGAAATCATATATATATTTAATAGGGAATGTTTATGATCCCTACTTTAGATGGAATATTCTTGCATATATGATTGAACTGATTGCAAGATCATAGAAGTCGGGAACGCGGGGCGCTATAGCGAGCCGCGACCCGGGTTTAGTTGTCCCAGATTCGTGTGGAACACAGACTGATTCACGTACTCCGGTGACCTGATTTAGAATTTAAGCCAGATACAATTTTTTCACATGCTCTGATTACTGCTATAGCTGATGTTTTTCTTCAGATTTTGTGTCCCGCTTGCTAACTTTAATTTCTCCTAGTTGTTACTCCTGTAAACTCGTGCAGTTTTAAAAATCTTTAACATTCACATCACATAAAAGATATTAGAAGTAAGGGTGTAGATTTTGTTTCTGTTCAGGTATTCAACCCCATTTGTTAATAGCAGAGTAACATCTGCCTATCCGCATGCACACTTAGTTTACACCAAATATATGGTTATTGAGTTGCACAACATCCAAATCCGCTAGAAGAAAACAAGTATGAAGTTGTAATGGAAGTCAAATGACTATGTATTTCCAGATCTTGGGGGTCAGCTGAAATAGACTTTTTTTTCCCTCTGTTCAGCTTTTATTCCATTATACCACACTTCTGACTACTTTCTTCTTGATCAATTGTCTCTAATACTTTGTTAGGGTTCTGAGGTCAATCTTGTTATTAGCAATTGTCAGTATTATGTGCATTTTGTTATTATGTTTTGGAGAAAGCAACTGCTTTCAAGTCACTTCGAGTTCCAAACTGTCTAGTCTGTCTCAGATTTTTTTCCCCAACAATAGCTCTATTACTTGTTTTTCCGACGTGGGGTTGGGAAGTTCCGTTTCATATCCCCTAATTTGGTTTTGCTCCGATTTTCATATCACCACACAGCTAGCTTATAGTATGCAAGGCTCAATATTAGAAAATACGGTTTTATTATGCGTGCAGTCTGCGACCGCTTAACGATTAATCTGATTAAGATTCAATTAATTGGATTATGGGGAATTATGGGCTTTTGAATTTTCTTAATATATATTTATTATTTATCTTATGTTAAAGTGTATAAAATTCTCAAAAAATAGAAAATATACTTAAAAATGCCAACAAACATAATTTAACATTAAATAACTAGTTTATCTACTTAAAAATTCAATTCGTATATCCAAATTAATTAGATACTTGAATAAAAGTCGCTAAATTATACATTTAAACTAAAACTAAAAGTTCATAAACTAAAATAAAATCATCTATAAAGAGTGCAGAGGAGAGAGAGAGGGTCATGGTATTTGGGAAAAGATTAGGGCTTTTTTTATTCAGTTAGTTGGATCGAGTTTGGGTAAATGAGTACAACCCACAATCAAATTATTAAAAGAAAAAAGTGGTCGGATTAACAAATTATGTGGGCGCTTACTTAAAAATCAGCTGATTAAGCCGATGTCCGCATAATTGGGTGCATAACTCATATCCAGCGCGTTTTTATCCTGCTTTCCCTTAAGTGGGTGCTTAAACCTTTTTTTTTTAGAACACTGATGAGACTCATTTCCTCACATGATATCTAATCTAGTATAAGATTTTCCCTAAATATTATTAACTTGGGAGGACTTTTCAAACTGTGATATCAATTAAAACTAAGTCATTGATTGGTTTTAGCCAAGAATTCGCTATCAAACCGATGAATCTAAATTATGGGCTCTTTGTTCATCTCATTCGGGTATCTGCAGCTTGCTATTGGAAACAGTTTTTAATATTTGGGCAAGTATGCTGAACTTCAGTCCTTTTGGGGATGTGAGCCTATACAAGGTCAGGGCTTTCTCTTCCGGTGCTAATGACTCTTAGGTGACCAAATATTGATGATATATTAAGTCCATAAGGACAGCAACAAAGCCTAAGTCCATAATGATAACATCAATGCCTGTATTCCAAAAAAGTTATACAGGCAACAACTATTTAACTCTATTTCCTGATACACTTTCAGACTTTATGCCTTTTTCTGTTTTCAGATTTAATCGAGTGCCATTTTTTCGCTGTAATCTTTGTCTATCTTCCATCAATCTTCCTTGAGGAGCATTTAGTCTACTGATCATGAACATTTGTAAACGAAAATTGTCTATTCACTGGTTGGATTTTGAACCTCGAAAGTGGGTGCTCTAACTTATTTTTTAGGATCACTCATTCTATGACAACAATGCCTTTGAACTATAGGAAAAAAATTATATAGGCAACAACTATTTAGCTCTATTTCCTGATACACTTTCCGACTTTATGCCTTTTTCTGTTTTCAGATTTAATCGAGTGCCATTTTTTTGCTGTAATCTTTGTCTATCTTCCATCAATCTTCCTTGAGGAGCATTTAGCCTACTGATCATGAACATTTGTAAACGAAAATTGTCTATTCACAGGTTGGATTTTGAACCTCGAAAGTGGGTGCTCTAAATTATTTTTAGGATTGTCACTCATTCTATGATAACAATGCCTTTGAACTATAGGCAACATGTTTTGTTATCTAGAATTGCTAAATGGATCTTTTTTTTGTTGCATATTATGTATGTAGCTTCAGTTTTCTTGGTGGTCTGGCAATATCGAACACTCTTTTAAAACAAAATTTCTGAATTAAATGTACATTTCATGTTCTGATTTTCTCTTTCTTTTTTCTCTATTTTTAGGTTTTCCGAATCTAGTTCAGTTCTTCGGTCACAAATATCACGAGCTCAACGGAGATATTGTCAATGGCCTGGATCTCAGGACGTTGTCACATTATGTATCTGATAGACTGATAGCTCTTTGTAGCTTTGACATAATATTAAATATTTTACCATTACACATAAATTTTTTTTATCCCCAAAATTTTTATCAGTGAAAGTGACCTTTTCCTTCTTCCTTCTGTGTTTGTATGATCTATGCAACTATTTTTAGATAAACACGTGCATTCTTTTTAACAGCTGATTAATTAAATTTTATCTTCTGTTCATTAGGTTCTAGAAGTAATTCTCTTCATGTTCAACCTTACAAGGATTTTGGCAACGTTCATGCATTTATATTTGCACAAAAAAGTCAGATTACATCTAAGTATATATTATTTTTTCGCTTTTCCCTATATGATATGATGCATTATTCTCTCTCTCTCTTATCCTTTATGTGACACGGTAACTCAAGTTATATCTGATTTGGCATTTTCTCCTAGATTATTGACTAATCATACTTTAGTCTATTAGCTAATGTGTTTGCTTTAGAGATTAATGGATACCAACTATAGGAGAAAATTTTATTTTTATGATAGTGGAAGGTCAACTTCGCCCCCTTATCTGCTTCTTCTCAACCTTGTTATATTCCAAAGTGTGCATGTACCCAAAAGAAAAAAGCGGGGGGGTATCATAAGGTTTGCTCATGTTTTGAACATATAAAGATAGCCGATTTTTCGAAAAAGAAAAAAGAAAAAAAAGATAGAATTAATAATTGTAGATCGAGATGATGTCAAGTCTGATAAGCAGTTTGAATTTTAAACGCAAGAATTATAATTATACTATGACAAAGCTACAAAATACCTTTCGTACTGGCTCCAATCATTTCCCAACCAATCTCTCTTTTTAATTTGGGCTATGCAAAGCGTGAGCATCATGCTAACTTAAGCTTAACCACGCTGGAGTGGGTGAGAAGCTAATGACTAAGAGCGGATAGAGTTAGTCATGGCTTTTGACTATAGTTTCTAGAGAATATTTCCTCATGGGATCAATCATTATTTTATCCTGTATGTATTAGTTGAGCTTGCATGCATTATATATATATATATAGATATATATATAGAGAGAGAGAGAAATGGGTATGCTTGGTACCAAGCACAAAAAGTTGTGCTTGGTAGTGATCCACTATTTGTGAGTTATAAACATATTAGTCTAGTACAACATCTCTATTTATTAGTATCTTGAAGTCTTTAAAAGATGGGTGATGTTCAATTCGTAAAGGAATTTTACATATGAATTTACTTGCAATATGTCATTAAACTTTTAGTTGTGGTTTGACTCATATTCACGTTAACTTTTAGTTATTGTTATACTCATATTTATATTATCTAATATTCTCATTTAATTTTATAACTCGTTCTCTATATCATAGAAGTAAAACTGAAAGTATGAAGAATTATTTTATTGCAAAGTTAGAACAAGAAGATTATGATATATTTCGTTATGTGTTCTAAATATAAAAATTACTTTTTCCTTTGATGCAAGGTCCCTATCAAATCTTACCCCAAATGATGTGAATAAAAAATGCTATTATAACTTACTTGCCTAAGGTAATTGTATTTTATATAGGACACATAACTCATTTGGAATATCCACATCTGCTAAGTGGATTTTGCTGTTGTGAGAGTAACATGTTAGAGGTTTATATTCAAATTTTTTGACTCTATAAAAGACGTAAGAATTTGGAGTGCATAGTTTATATATCGTAAAGAACATATTGGTTCATGAAGAATTTTTTCTAATAACGATATTATTACAACGATATTACTATTCAGTATTAAATTAATTTTATTATATAAGATTATATGACTCTTTTAATAAATTATAAAGTATATTTACGGAAACCTCGATGTTTATAGCTAGTAGTTATGCTCCACAAAATAGGTTAACTTTACATTATAGTTTACTACTTATAGTACTGTTGGCAATGTTATTACCTTTCCTTTTTATCTTATTATTCACACTTTTCTAATGTAAGTTCTTTTTTGCTAATAACTTAATTGACTATATTTAGTTTTTATAATATTAGAGGTTAGAATATTCCCTTCTATTTAAAAAGTGTTGACATTATTATTTTTTAAATATATACACATAGTAGCAATAGTATATACTTCAGTTCAACTCAAACATTGGCTTGAAGCTATTTAAAGTGATGTCCTTTCTACGCTAGAATGATGATATAGTGATTACTCGGTCTAAAAGTCAAAAGAAGAAATTTTCTACAATATATAATATATATATATAATAATATATATATATATATATAATATGTATATAATATATAGAGAGAGAGAGAAAAATGGGTATACTTGGTACCCAAGATCCTTGTAGTTGATTGTGGACACACTATGTCCATACAATCAACCTAGAAGATGCGAGCCTCACCAACTCCAAGGTGTGATGTATTGGACAATATGTTGTCCACATCACTACCAAGGATCCTTGGCCCAAGTATACCATATTTCCTCATATATAACTATAATATATAATAATATATATATATATATATATATATATATTATACTATAATATATATATATAATATTATATATCATATTATATATATATATTATATATCTATGGTGTTCCCATTCGCTAAGAAATATAATGTATAAGCAAATCACGTGATATGCATTTCAGGCAATCGAGGCCCCAAATCAAACTTAGTGGCCCAAGCCCGACAGAGGCCTCGACCCCGCCGACTCATCAAGTCAACATTCTTTCATGCCGACACGAAAGGCAGGATCAGCCGATCTTATCGTCGAAGAGGACTCACCAAGAGCACTCGACCATTTACTCAGCGACTCACAGCGATGACTTGGTGAACATCTCCTCTCGACTAGATTGAGGAATAACCTCCGCCTCAAGTCTCTTCCTTTGATCACATGTCAGCATCCCAGTCCACCTCGGACAAGCATTATCCTGATAGCAGCCTGAAGGTCTTCATGACTTGTCACCTGCCCACGTGTCTTTTGCCATGCCCTCAATTACTTTCCAAAAAAATGCGGAGACACCCTCTCCCGTACCGAAGTGACTTCTCCTCCAATCGTCAGCCGATACCTGTAATTCATCCTCAGAAGTCTTCTTCTTGTGTGAACGCCGTCGTTGGTTGGGTAAAGCAACGTTCGTAAATTGGTTGAACACCAGCAGTTGGGCCGCATATGAGCAGCATTGGCGTCCCGAGAGGACCGTAGGAATCATTTGTTCACATTGAAATGAACGAATGACTTGTTGCATCGATCTTTCTCTCGATGTGAACTCTCTCGAATCCGTTATAAAGATTCGAGGAGAATTACTCACTGATTGTGAGGTTTGAACTGGAACCCCCAGTCCATGATTGGACAGGACTGGCTCTTGGTGAATATGGGTCTGGTTGAGATGCCTTGAATCCATAAACTTCTTATATCCGCCCCTCAACCCAGTCGCTCCACGATATACACCAGGCGCGGTATTAGATTTGGAACTTGGGACGCGAGGGTCGCGTTTGGCATTTGAAACGCGAAGGTCGCGTTCGGCACTTGAAACGTGAGGGTCGCGTCTGGTACTTGAAACACGAAGGTCGCGTTTTGGTTTGGCGACATGAGGGTCGCATTCTTCATTGTCGACGCGAGGGTCGTGTTTTGACTTGGAAACGCGAAGTTGAAGTTCGCGTTCAACGAAGGCTTGAGGTCCGCGTTTTGGCTGTAAAACGCGCCATTGAGGACCACGTTCAGTCTGGTTCTCGCGAAGCTCATGTTTGGGCTCAGGGTCGCGTTTGGGCTCACGAACGCGAAGTTCGCGTTGGTTGGAGAATCGACTTTCTCGAAGTTGTGCTCGTCGCTGAGACCTTCTTCTTCGACGAGCAGCGTTCTTCTTGGCCTGTTTTAAGGCTTTTGCAGAGGCATCATCGGCGTTTATGGAGCTCGTCTCCTCTCTAAGCCGTTTATGGCCTGAAGCACATCGTGTTGACGCGGAGGTAGGATATTCAACTCGCTGTGCGAGTTCAGCAGAGGCCGAGCCCACTCCTGGAGCGGAGGGGCTGTTCGACGAATTTTGACCAAAGGAGAGGACTTTCTTTGGCGTTCCAGCAACAGTTGGAGATTTAGTCTCCTTGGAAACTTTGTGGATCTTGCGCATAGCCTTGGGGCTAAGGGATCCGGAGGAGATAGCCTCCTCAAACTTGGCTTGATCAAACTCTACCACGAGAGTTTCGACGATTGTTCAACGAGATTGGGATGACAAGCTTGGCGCGGCTCTATGGGCCTATCGTACCACGGTACGAACACTGTTTGCAGGGAAAAATTGCAATGAAGAGAATAAAGAAAATGTGACTTTGATTCCTTTGATCTCGATTACAACTTGATTACAAAAGAGAGGAGAACGAAATTGGTTCTTCCTCTTTGTTTAAAACTGGGTTCTTCACGGTGGCGATGGAGTGCCTCCCTCGAATGCTCGCGTCGAGTTTGCTCTCCGTTGACGATCCGCACGTCTTGATTCACTGGAACGATGTCTTCTCCTCACGATTTGACGTTGTGGAGAACTTGCGTGGCAAGTTTTAGAACTCTTGATGAGTTGATAACTCTGAACGAGTTTGAAACTCTATGAAAGAGTTGATTTGAACCGAAAGTTCGGTTAATAGCCAAGGATCAAAGCTCTCTGTTGCTGAAGTTGAAGATGATCTTCGTTGGAAGATGATGCCGATCTCCTCAAAAAACCTCTCTCCAGTGGTCGATCCAAGCCCAGAAAATCCAACCGAAAA